CCCCCCCCTCCCGGCACACCCCTAAAAAAAAGTCCAACCTTCAAAGTTTTATTGCGGAATCCGACAGATCTCGGCAAGCACAGTCGGATCCCGCTTAAAAAAATAAAAATAAAAAAAATTAGCCGTTTTTTTGGGCCATCCGGTTTGCCGGTTGACCCCCCCCTGGGCCGGTCCGGACCCGGTTGGACCGGTTCAGCCCGACCGGCCGGTCGACGGCCCAGCCCTGCTTAAAAGTTAAAAGCCAAAAGTTGCTAATAATTTTGCTGCGTGATAAACAGAACATGAACTGGTAAAAAAAAACCTTGTTTAATTACGCCCGATTTTTTCGAAGTAGGGCCGGTAGCCCAGCAGGCTATTTTCCCGTTTTCCCAACAGCGGGCAAGGTAGTGGTTGTTTAACAGGATAAGTAAAGAATGTACAATTAGACTGTTAGTTTAAATTACAACTTTAGCAAACTTTTCCATACATTAACCACAAGCCGGCATTGGTTAGCTTAAAAACGCTTTGGCTTTTTCTTAAGAAGATAAGAAAAGTAAACCCTTCCATACGATAACCTTCCCGAAGCAGGAAGTAGCACAGTTTAGAAACAGGAAAAGTAAAGCGAAGTTTTCCTCACTGAAATTTACGATGACCTTTCAGAAGCAGGTAGTAGGAAATTTTAGGAACAACGAGATAGGTAGAGTGACGTCTACCTCACTGAAATTTGGAAAGTGGGCCAGAGTAGAATTTCCCTCCCTCCCTCCCTCCAAGGAAACCCTGCAAATGTTGATACTTTTGTTTGACGTCATTTTATATCAACTGAATGTGGCAATACAGAGAAGATGGAAACACAGACAAAATCCAAACACAGAGTAGAAGTCCACGAGACATGCTGGTGTGAGGACGCTACTAAACGTAATGAACTGCATTAAGCGAAGCGAGAGCAGCCATCTCTCACAAATCTACATGTGTTTTGTACTGTTTACCTGTACCAGCCATCTCACAAATGTACACGTGATTTGTACTGTTCCTCAGGACATACAATACCATGCATTATAACGGTCCTGGGAGATCCCAAAGGATAGAGAGCCTGCCTACCTGCTGAAGGGTACATGCAAGGAGGCCTCCCTCCGAAACGAACCGTCTGCCCAGTGCCCTCGCAAACACCGCCAGCCCTTCAAGCAGGACCTGTAAGCAAGATTCAACACGACAGAAAGGAATCAGATGCATTGTACAGAGCATGCTTGGACAGAACCCGATGAGGTGATAGGATGGGATCATACAAGATGGATAGAAGATTGAACTTGACAGGGATGGACAGAATGCGACGACAACATAAGCAGGGAGTCGAGACAATTCGGGACTAGGAAAGCACGGGAGTGAATATGGTGTCATTCAAGTGGGATGCATTGGGGTTCCATCATTCCAGCCATTCCTATATTTCCCTTTTCTCCTTTGGCAGGGGCAGAAGGGGTGGGGGGGGGAAGGAAGAGAGGGTTGCGGCAACTTCTCAAAACCACCACTCCATCCATCTCTATTTTGACAAACCAAAAGTTGCATTTCCCCAAGCCTAAAATCTACAGTGTCTGCCTGAGGAAAAATAACAGTGGCATACATAACCTGGGCACTGTAGATTTTGGCCCGGAACTTGTATACAAGAAAAATGAATAGTGCAGGGGCCGTTGGAGTGGTGGTTTAATGGGCATTAAGAAATGCAGTGGGGGACGGACAAGAGATGTCATGCAGTAGTATATGATTCAAATTCAAAGCCATAGGACCAGACAAGACACAATAAAATGTACGGGAATTTATTCAGTGGATACCCTGGAAAAGGCGATAAGAATTCGTAAAATGGAATACGTATGACATGTGACGAGGTGATACAGAGATTCAATGGGATCTAAAGTGGTGCGGATTTCCTCACGAGGAGGAGAGAATTCACGTAGATCACACAAATTGTTTGAGCACTGGCAGACAGAGATGGAAGATAGCAACATAGATAAAAGTAGAGGAAGTGCATGGTTGGTTTGAGTGCCTCAGTACTTGGTAAAAAGTGCCAGTACACTGGGCACTACATGCTCTTCCGAACCTCGGCAAAATATACGATAAGTGGATGACGGATTTTTTTAATGTTGCCTCAAGTTTGCCATCCGAGACCTTCCCTACTGTCTTCACCCGAATAGAACGCCCGGTCATTATTGCTGTATTTGGAACAACTTTCAGCCCAGATACGGCGATAATTACCGGGCGTTCTGTTCGGGTGAAGACGGTAGTTCTCAAGCATCATACTATTCAGTTTAGTTCAGAAACTGACTCCGTTGTCCCACATGCAGAATATCTGTCAATCTTTTGGATGCAGAGGGTGAGATGAAAATCTTCATGAATATGAATCCAGAGATTCCGCAATCTTAAACCACCAATACCTCCGAGCCTCTTTTTGCTGAGATGGAAAAGAAATGCGTGCAAGCTTTGACGAAGAGCCAGAGCGATGTTTTTTTCCCCCCTTTTGGTTGGTGCCGCCAGCCACTGTGGTCCGGTAGCAATGTTCATCCAAAGAACCCAGAATGTTGCATTTTCGATCCTTGATATTGCCTGGGAAAGGTAGTGGCGGTTTAAACCACCAGTACCTCCATGTTCTTAGGCCGTTAACGTGGTGGCTGAATCGGTGTGCCGCGCGGGTCCATATGCATTTGCGTCAGAGCCTTCCCAGAGGGGTCCTAAGCCCCCCTTGGGTACTGGTGGTTTAACACGTCATAACCATACATGCAAGTGGACGCCGTGCGGAAAATTCTGCACGTATGGCCCACGCGCGGACCCGCACGGTGCAGCGCATGGGCGAAATATTCACTCAAAAAAAAACAGGGGTTGCATGGCTGGGTTAATAGTCACCTATGTTCCCTTTCAAGATTTGTTGTGGGATGGGGGGGGAAAAAAAACAAAAAAAAAATATAGGGAGGCTAATGCCACTACCACCCAAAGGTCAAGACTGATGTCCCACACACCTTTATGAGGCTATTTCTCATGCCCAATTGGACGGAAAGGAAAATATGTACGACTGTACTTAAAAAAAATCAGTTCCTTAGGTGTTGCACTCTTGTGTATCTACAAAAACAGCAAAAAAAAAACAAAAAAAAGGGAAACTGCCGCTGGTACGGCGCATAAGCAGGTGCCGCGCCGCACGACACCGGACAGTACGGCGCACGGTGCGGTTGCAAGTATGGTCATAACCTATGTATCTACTGAAGTGAAGAGTGGGTCTCATGTGGCAATGTTGCACAAGACACTGTGAGACTGCCCGCGCCCAGGCTGAGGCCTGAGTACAGTGTTTCGGCTGTTTTTTCTTTGAGTGCTGTCAGGCCCTGCGGCAACGACATTTGCAGCTATCAGGGGATGGTTGTGAAACGGTTTCACCTTTTTGCAGTCACAGATGCGGGCCTTAGAGTTCGGTCCCCAGACCTCACCTTACCCATGTACAGTATCGAGTTGACCCCTGAGTGTTTGAACCGGCGACCTGTGTTTCGGTAGTTGGTTGTGACCTGTCGTAGGTCTGTGTAGTGGTAGGGGTTCGATCTGTAGGTTTGTCGAGTAGGGGTCACCGCTCTGTAGAGGTCGTAAATGTAGGTGTTCTGAGAGGTCAAGGTCGTAGCTGCTACGGTCCTCAAAGGTCCAGGTCGTACCTGCTATAGTACTCGAAAGGCCAAGTCCACAGCCTTCCGGAAGGTCCGGAAGTGGCTTTTCGAAGCGTCTCACGTTTAGGCAAAGGCAAGTGGGCAAGTGGTGGAGTCCAACTTCGAGGAGTCAGCGGTACCCAGTCCCAGTCTCACTTTGTACAGTCAGCAAGTACCACGAGGGACTGTGTGCACCAAGGGCCCAGTGGAAAAGGGGCAGACCAACGAGTTACAGAAGTATAAATCAAGAGGCAGCGTCCAGCCATCCATCCATTCGCTGCGTAAGCCATGTGGAAGCGCTGCTACAGCGTCTTGTGCGAGGTGGTCTGAAGAGCGCCCGAAGTCGAAGTGGGTTGAGAGATGATAGCGTAGCCATAGTTAGTAGAAGTTGAGCTGCCATAGCCGCTGTGGTGTTAGAAGTTAGCGAGTGTGTATGAGTGAGCGACAAAGCGAATGCATGTGGGAGTATTCAGGGTGATCCCGAGTTGTGTGTGTGCGAGCAGTGGTGTGGGATGCAGTGACGAGAGTGGTGTGGTGCAGGCGCTGATGCGCCATAGCTTGTTAGAGCGAGTTTTGAAGCTGAATCGTGTTCTCGATTGCCATATCTCTGAGCCAGTGTGATTCGCCAACTGTTTGGATGCATGCGAAGTGGAAAAGAAAGCGAGTCTGATTGCAGTTGGCCGGAACTAGGCTACACATCAGAAGGAGAAGAAACGACCCGAACAGTTCAGATATCTGTGTAGCATGCTCTGACAACGAACAGGAAAACATCACACACTGTCTGATCACATGCAAGGGAGCTACTGACTTCTGGGCAAGAGCAGCTGCTCTTTGGGACTACCTATTCTCTTCTCCATTCCCCGAGCACCCAATCCAACTGCTCCTATGGACCAACACTCCTACTAACTTTAACAAGTCAGAGAGCATCTGGTACGGCATGATTCGWAAGGYGACACTCTGGGTCATATGGAAGGAAAGATGCAGCAGAACTTTGGACAACTCTAGCAATTCATGCGAAAAGGTATGGGCGRCAACCAAATCCTTAGTGGAGACTGAAGTCCTCGCCCAATGGAAAAAAGTCAGGAGTCAAGCTCAGGAAAATCAGGAGAAGCAGCAGGAGATTCTGGCAAGATTCACGAAAGTTTGGCTGGTCAATGGAAAGGTGGCGGGTATTCAAGGTCTTCACCTCAGGTGGAAAGACTGSCATAACTCCTGTCCACTTCAGAGAACACGGGTCAGTCAAATCCCACAGTCTCAGGATTTCAGCGCCACATAGCTTGGTTACACGAACACAAGTACATGTATGAACATCAAGGCTGTCCAGACGGGAGGAAGGGCGAGGGTGTTCCAGAAAGGAGCTGGCAAATAACTACAGCTGAGGGATCAGGGTCCAGGGTTTACACAAGCAAGGCAAACAGGGTTCAGTTCGGCAGGGTTATCATGAAACACAGGGGCAAAGTCTGATATTATTAGCAGTGTTGGTAGCTTCCAGGCCTTTCTCGCCATCCATGTTCATCCGACAGGCTACTACAGTAGACCTGAGAGGAAAGGGAGAAGCAGGGCAAGCTGACAGTCAATCCTCCATGATGTTGGAGTAATCAATGTTGATCAGGGTTCCTTCGGCCAGACGGAAGGAAGCGTGCGTGTGTTCAAAGATGTAATATTGTATTCTGACTTGCCGGTGGAATAGGAACCGGACTGATGCTCCCCAGAATGGAAATGGAGCCAGGACCATAAGGACCTGTT